GATGCATAATGAAAGGGGCATTAAGTGTTACTCATCTTCATTCTTCATTATTATATACCCGAAGTTCAACCAGAGACGTATATAAAGTAGTATAAGCTATTTAATTAGTTATAATAATGTTTTTTGGGCTTATCCTGATATGTCGGAGTAATCATTCTCCCCAAGTGTTGGTTGAGATACATCTAATTTATACTTCCTAAATTCCCAGATTTCGTTTGAGAAATTTAATTTTCATACGTCGACAATGGAGGTATCTGCGTCCACAGGGACCCGAGAGTCTTATTGTGTACCCTGAATGAAAATAAAAACTAATGTTTTATTATTATTTTAGTTTTATTTATATAATCCAAAAACAAAAATGTCGAAAACCGTATAAAACCGGTCATAATCGTAACTCGCGGTGAATGAGACCCTATCGTCTGTGACGTCAAAAGTTCAACGCCTCTAGCAGTCACCATTGCAGGAATAGGCGAGTTATAAAACAGCCATGGCCATACAGCGTCAGATCACAGATTAGTATTTTTTTAGTTTTGAGGAATCAGATTGTGCTGGAGATAACATTATGTAGATGGTATTCAGCCATATAAAATTTCCCAGAATTTCCAGACAGTGAGTTTAATTGATATCAAATGGATGACTCTGAATAGGGCGGATTGGTCGAGTGGTGAATACTTCGGCCTTCCACGCATGGAATATCAGAGAAAGTGTTTTTCTCCTGGACACCCAACTCCAACAACCCAGGTGGAGTATACAATGGTCTGGGGTGGATGTTGCGGTATATGTGCTGTAGCATTCAAGTGAGCACCACTTTAAATGATGCCGTTGGAAGCACGGTCCCACTATAAACAGAACACATCACATCTCCAGGCATACACACATAGGGAGATATTAGCCAGGTGGCATAGAACTAGTAGTTAGCGCCTGATAAGGCAGCTCCTGCTAATTCCTCAAAATTGAAATGATTAATGTAAATATTAATTGTATATCTATGTACTGTAAAGCGCTTTAGAGTGGCTTATATGTTAGCTAGATAGAGCACTATATCAAATGCTGTATCTTATTATTATCAACACACCATGGAAACATTGCGTGTCCTGACTCTGACCACTGATGAGAAATTTGTTGAATAAACGCAAATACTCTCAATGTTGTCAATCAAAAATGGTTCTATATTTTAGCTGGAAAGTCAGTTTGCAATTATTTCTTTAATTTACACAGACATATACGCTTTATATTCTCTGCTCTACAGTCACATACTGTGGCATCGCTATGGAAAAAAACCCACCGGAAATGTATCATTGAAAAATGCTTACAGAATAACTTCAACGTTGGTATATGCTCTTTGTGAATGTCAACAAAATGTATGGCATATTTTCAGTATTACCGTTTAATGACAAAATATAATTGAATTAAGAGATTCAAACCTTTTCTCTTCATATACATGTAATATACCCAATTTATCACTTAATATCTTGGTTCAATAATGAAAATCGTCTCGATCCACTCCCTTAGCCTACTTAGGTGTGACATTTGTGTACATGTAAATAACAATAAACACACCTGTGTCCAGTGCTGACAGCAGGAGGCCCAAGATGCACCAATATGTGTCAAGGTATGACATCAAAGGGATGTTAGCAGGTGGGCTAGGGGGTACCTGAAGTTAGTATATTTATATTCATTTATTTATTTATGTCTAAACTCATTGCATATTACATCCATAACAGCCTAAATCAACATTAGAATACACACATGTTAAACATATTGATCAACACTATAAATGTTTAATTTACATCAGTAAATTATCACATAATTTATCAAAAATATAAACTTATAAATAAACCATATCTTTGCTAAAATATGCTCATTTTATCATGGAATCATATAAACATATTCATGCGATAAAACAGTTAGAAATATAATAATCAGTATATGTAGATTGGTGTAGATTATGTGTCTTCCAATTTTCCATTTAACTGCAATGTCCTCAGTCTAGATAATGGGAAAATGTATAAGAAGAGACATATATATTACGTCTCTGGTATAAGGATCAATTTCAAGAAAAAGATAAATAAGTAAAATGTGTAAGTACTGCCAAAGAGTCACATTATATGCAAATCAAAGTCAGTACAAATGCATCACCGGACAGATGAAAGTCAGTAACAAGGCAAATAATGCTGGACCCTGTTATGCACATTATATATAACTAATCTTTGTGAGACTTGAACGGACCGGTTTTCCCTCTGCATTTTTTTTAAATTGGTGTGTATATCTATTATGTGTTTAATTCCATAAAGAATAAAAAAATGTTTCAATATTTTATAACTGGGGGTAAAAGTAATCGGGTTGCTGCTCCATTTGAGCATAAATGATTGTACCGGTGCATGTTTTCGTCTGTTTCAAACGTATATCTACATATTGTAAAGAAAGGGGTGGTGTTCGCCTCTGTTAATTTGACTCAATTTTGACTCAATTGCTTTGTATTGTATATGGGTGACCAATACATTTTCTAGAGATCAAAATACAAAGTATAATATTTACATTCACTAGATTAACGAATTATGTAAAAACACAGATTTATTTAGAAAGCATCCGCATGTGTGTTCAGACACCCGCATACAGCACATCATTTGCCTTCTCAGTAGGAACTCATTTCTTCATTAAAATGGGGAAAACAAAAATATATGTATGTAGTACTTTAAATATTACCTACACAAGTAAGCTTCCCGGTATAGGCCTGTTTTGGCAGCGTTGAACTTGTGACAGTCACATATGTGGGCTACCAATATTGAGGCGATCGCCGCAGAGCCAAAGGTGTGTTTTTCAGATAAATCACAATATCTCGGAAACGGAGTCAACTACGGCTTTCCACTTTCTTAGCCTTTGATTATAATAAACGAAGTATTTTCATAGCTTGATATAGCAAAACGTTCAGGGTACATTTCTTGGGTGCGGTTAGAAGGAGGGGCGGCAATTATTTCGAGAAATAGTGTTAACCACTAAAACATATAATTTATACTTCCTAAATTCTCAGATTAAGTTAATCTACATGATGCCTTATCACAAGAAAAGGAGAAGAAGAAGAAGAAGAACATCTAATATTACTTCACGGCGCGATAGAGGTACGAACAAACAACTGTAGCAAATTCCTGGGTCCCTGTGCCTGAAACCACAGGTAGTTACCTTGTGGTCTTTACCTTCGAAATAACAATAGCCGCAGGTAACAGGGGTGACCACATGTTTAAACAATAATAAATGTAAGGCCGGGTAAAAGCAAAAACCAGATGATAGTTGGGATTAATTCACTATTGTTTAGGATAGTGAAATCAGTGCTGTTTGTACAATATACTTTTTAAAATGACTGTCAAGAGAAAGCAATACAAAACTTTGGTTCAAGGCTGATTTAAGGAGGGAATTACACAAGAAGTTCAGATTTCAGATTATGTTTTCATCACTCAGACAAATGAAAATGTGTAACTTGAGGGTACAGCACGGAATTAGATTATCTAAGATTATCATTCATATAAATACTGATTATAATTATCAAATAATACCACTTAAGAGAATATCATAAGAATTATACCTGTTTGAGATATAAGTAGAGAAGGACGATTTTAAGAGAAAAAAAACAATAATTACACAGAATTTGCTTGCAGCATTTCAGTTGGATTTGTAAGATAATACAGGAATAATACCCTATGCAAACACATCACATTGATATTCATATCCAATCTTTTCCAAACACAAGTTTCATATTTCATCTCCTTTTGAACATTTGCGATCGCCTAGTTTAAATAAAATCAAACAATTACACATACGTTATTTAGTTTGGGTTGTTTATTATTTTTCGACAAATTGATTAAATATTTTTTTAGCAACAAATTCAGAATTTGGGCCTAAAAAAATAAACTACCCACTAGACGTATCCATATGTATTGTTGATGTCAAAGAACCATTGTTCAAGACTATTTCCGTAACTTCACATTGAATAAATATTTGGGGGAAATATAGAAATTAAAAAAAAAGATAAGTGAGAAACCACCAACATCAAATATACTTTTAATCTTATGAATTCATAAAAAGGAATGTGTGTTTGCGTCGTGTAAGTTTAGTGATAAGATGTTAAATGTAATTTACTGTTGAGTTCCAAACGGATGCCATTAGAAGTTTAATTCCATTTCAAATTGAATTATCAATATTCACAGAAAAATTTGGGGACAAATCATCATATAAATTATTTTATTGGTGCTGACGGGGAAAATATTGTCTATAAGTACATCTGTATCTGCCGCTGTGCAAATAACACGCCAGCGCTGTATAGGTAAATACAGGTCAGAGTTAGGGTCAGAGACCGACACGCTTCTGCGAGTAAGTACATCTAAATCTCAGTCCGTTATGTGTCTGTTATGAACTGCGTTTTAGGACCGTGTTTAACCAAACGGTTTGTATGCGTTTGCATTGAGTTTTCGTTGCCCTTCCGTCGCGTTTGCATTCTGTTTGCGTTGAGTTTCCGTTGCGTTTGCGTTGCGTTTGCGTTCCGTTTGCGTTGCGTTTGCGTTTTAACGGACAAGAAAAACGGTCCAGGGTCTGTATACTCAATAAGCTACTGTAGACTTGCTCAAGTTTGTGTCTGATAATTTGTAAAAATGCACATTTTTTTACTTGTTTCTCTTTGAATATGATATAGAGATACACAATGGTGTTTTAGCAAAAAAATGTCAACTTCCGGTTTTCGTATGGTTGAAAACATTTGAATGTTGACCAAAATTGGTACATTGTGTTCTTCTTGGAAATTGTTTAACCTAAACTGTCCTAAAGTGTCAAAGTGTAGCTAGCAATCATGAAAAGTCCGTCAAATTGTCTATGACTATATCTAGTTTTATATGTTTACTTTGAAGATTCCGGATATTTAGACAATTGTTATCATCTCCTCCCATATGAACATGAATATCTCCACAGTCTCTTTACACAGATATCTTGATTTTGTTGGCATTTCTGCCCAGGTTAACTTGAGTATCTCCAGAGATGGCTGTGTCCACTATGGAGATGTGGTGGTGTTGCAGTGTCTAGGGGCACAAGATAGAACCAACTACACAAATGATGGACCCCGCAATACGTGCAATTTGGCAGTCACTCCTCAGGCCAGTAACCTTTTGCAACTGACCAAGCTTGAGGGTAACTGTGATGTATCAGGAAGTACTTCAACAGAGCCCAACCTCCGGAGCTCATTTGTTATCAAAGGGTGAGTAAGAGACGATACAATGTAAAAAAATAAAATATGAAAAATGATCATTCATATGGTTCTACTGTGTTTCAGTTTAGTATCAGAGTGAAAGCAAGCTTTTGTTGTTTCTTCTCAGAAGGAGGGCAGTTTCATTAGGCAGACTTGGTTGACAGCTTTAAGTGTCTGATCTCAAGGGGAAAGCAGACTAAGTTGACATTGTCTAATCTCTGTAGTAGCATAGACTTGTTTGATGATTTCAGTGTCTAATCTAGAGGAGGGAGGAGTTGCTTGTATTATGTTATCTCCATGGTGACAAGTTTTGCCTGAATACTATATAGTTGTGTTTTACAATATAGAAGGGAAACTCTTGAAAATAATAAGGAGTCTCTATGCCAATATAAGATGTATTAATTCAAAGATTTTACTGTTTTTTGCTCACCTGCCCGAAGGGAAAGTGCAGCTTATGTCATGGTGCGGCGTCCGTCCGTCGTCGACTTGTTCTGAAGAACGGACAGGTGTAGAGCCATGACATTTGACTGAAAGCTTCGTTGGTAGGAGCCCAACTGAGTTTGAGAACGAAAATGACCTTGACCTACTTTCAAGGTCACAGGGGTCAAATGTGTCAAACACTTCAAACAACTTCTACTGAAGAACTGAAAGGTATAAAATCTTCATATTTGGCTGGTAGCTTCCTTGGATAGAGCCAGACAAAGTTTGAGAATGAAAATTACCTTGACCTACTTTCAATGTCACAGCTAGGGGTCAAAAGTGTCAGATACTGAAAACAACTTTTTCTGTGGAACTGAAAGGTATAGAATTTAATATGTGGCTGGTAGTTTTGTTTGTAAGAGCTCATCAAAGTTTGAGAACGAAAATGACCTTGACCTCCTTTCAAGGTCACAGGGGTCAAATGTTTCAAATACTGACAACGACTTATTCTGAAGAACTAAAAGTTATGGAATGTTAATATGTGGCTGGTAGCTTCGTTGGTAAAAGCCCATCAAAGTTTAAGAAAGAAAATGACCTTTACCTACTTTCAAGGTCACAGGGGTCAAAAGTGTCAAATGCTTTAAACTACTTCTTCTGAAGAACTGAAAGGTATAGAATCTTAATATGTGGATGGTAGCTTCATAGTTTAAAGCCCTTTCAAAGGTTGATAGAGAAAATGACCTTGACTTACTTTCAAGGTCACGGGTCAAACGTGTGTCAAATAATTAGAACGACTCCTTCTGAAAAACTGAAAGATATAGAATCAAAATATATAGCTGGTAGCTTTGTTGGTAAAATCCTAACGAAAATGACCTTTACCTACTTTCAATGCACAGGGGTCAAATATGTCAAACTCATCAAATAATTTCGCCTGAATTATAAATATTCATAGCATCATATTATTTGGCTGGTTGCTTTTTGGGATTTTGCCTGACAATGTTTGCGAATGAAAACAACCTTAGCCTTCTTTCAAGGTCACATGCTCCAAATATGTCAAACACTTCAAATTACTTCTTCGGAATAATCTAAAGGCATAGAATTATAATATTTGGCTGGTAACTGTCACAGATGGAGCCCAACAAAGTTGGCTATTGAAAATTACCTCAACCTACTTTCAAGGTCACAGGGGTCAAATATAGCAAAAACTGCAAACGGCTTCTCTTGAAGAAGTGAAAGGCATGGAGTCGTGATATATTTCACAAGTAGCTTCCTTAGATTAAGTTTGTGAATGAAAATTACCTTTACCTACTTAATCCTATTGCTTTATTATGTCTACCCTTCGAATGAAGGGAGACATAATGTATTAGTACTGGTTCTCCTTCTTATGGTTCTTCTAATCACAACTTGTCTGAGCCATACATTTTAAACTGTTAAAGATATCTTGATGAAACTTAAAGTATGCATGCATCACCCACAGAAGGTGTGCAGTGCATTGGAATAAGGTCACTGTGCCCTTAACATCAAGGTCAAAGGTCAAATAATTGCATAATTTTCAGTAAATTCTTGTCCGGCCCGTAAATTTTGAACTGTTAAAGATATCCTGATGAAACTTGAAGTATACCTGCATCACTTACAGGAGGTGTGAAGTGCACTAGAATTAGGTCTTGTGCCCCACTATTTACAGAGTAATGGCCCTTTGTTTATTTTTAATACTGAAGTTTGTCCGGAGCATAAGTTCAATGTTATTTCACATACTGTGACCAAACGTACCATATTTATGTATCTTGGGAAGGCGGATTCTCTCGCACTGAAATCAGGTCACGTGCCCGACTATATATAGAGCAATTGCCCTGTTTATTTTTTCATATCAAAGTTTGTCCACGGCATAACTTCTAAACTGTTTAAGATATCTTAATCAAACTTGAAGTTTACCTGTATCACCCACAGAAGGTGTGCAGTGCACTGGAATTAGGTTTCGTGCCCTACTCTTTACAGACTTATTGTTCTTTGTTTATTTTTAATACCAAAGTTTGTCCGGAGCATAAGTTCCATGTTATTTCAGTTATGTTGACCAAACTTACCATATTTATGTATTTTGGGAAGAGAGAACCTCTTGCACTAAAATCGGGTCTTGTGCCCCACCATATACTAGTTATGGCCCTTTGTTTATTTTCAATACCGAAGTTTGTCCACAGCATTACTTCCATGCTATTTCAGCTAAATTGACCAAACTTGCTATAGTTATGTGTCTTGGGGAGTAGGAGTGTCACATTCTAAATTCAGGTCTCGTGTCCCAATATATAAAGAGATATGGCCCTTTGTTAATTTTTCATATGGAAGTTTGCCTTTTGGCTAATAAGGGGAGACATATGTTTTTGTTCACAAAAACAAGTTTCTAGTTTTAATCTAATTTCTGATATAGAGTATCCTTGGCCCAATGATTCAATGTTGTAGAAACCATGCCCCCTGAGAGACAGCCAATATTTGGAAATATTTGTAGTACAGTATAATCTTCATATAATATTTTCCTTTGACTGCTTAAATATCCAGCTGAGTGACACAGGCCCTCAGGGCCTCTTGTTTTCAAATATGATTGTGGTTTATTCCAAGGGGAAATAAAATCTCCCTTGTTGATTCTGTGTTTTATTTGTTGATGATTTAAAAATGGATTTTATAAAAAATCATTGCTTATCACTAGAAATTCAAACTATTACTTAATCTCAATGACCTTATGAGTCTATATCTAGCTTCTTAAAACATCACATTTTATCTAATATTAATGCACGGAAAATGGTAAAATATCAACCATCTAATTTGACCAAATGTCCCGATTTGGTGTTAACTTATGTCCAAAATAAACAATTTACCTATTTCTGTAACATGTAATTTGAAAAAGGACAAGCAAATGCTTACAAGCATTTTATTTCCAATTGTATGTGTGCAGATTCTTACCAAAATAACAATTCTTACCAAAATAAGTGTACAAATGTGTCCAAGCTCTGATTGTGAAAACTTCATCTCATGCAATTTTGTCTCAACACTGGAAAAAATGGCTAAGTCCATGATTCTGAACAACGAAAATCTATATTTTGTGCACTAGTTTAATGTCCGATTTACAAATGATTTTGCCAGTAAAGCAATGATAAAACAGATGTTTTTGTGAGATAAATTTTAAGTTAAACATTCATACAACTTCATCATTTTATTGAAAATTACGTATCCCCCCATTCTGTTCTATTGTGTGAAAGAAAAAAATGATCTGTTAAAATAATAAGACACAAATTTAACTTTATTTCCCCTTAATCAAGAGGACCATGTTATGGTGGTAATTCCTGCCAAAAGATTTAGCAATCAGATAAAACAAACACAAAATATTCACATTTCTGTTGTCCAAAATCATGGACTTAGCCATTTTGAACAGTTTAGTCAAATTTGCACGAGGTGAGGTATTCATCAACCTGACTTCATTCATTATTTGGATATCTTAACCAAGATGGCATTATTGCTAAGAGTAACTTGCATAGAAAATTATTTAGAGCACTTTGCAGTATTTTGCTGAAAATAATGTTAAAACCTTACATGTATAAATTGAAATGTTGTTCAATTTGGACTTTAAAATAGCTCCCAACAGCCCCGCAGGCCAACTTTTAGCATTCATTAATTCTAATATGTAAAAGAAAAACTTCTAATTTATGAAACTTTAATACACAAATAAGTTGTCAATGCATTTCTACAAAGCCAGTATCGATATTGATGTTGATTAACTTAATATTCTGTCTCAAAAATGCAACAAAAGCTAATATGTTCAACATTTGAAAAATGCTTTTAGCAATATTCATGGTGTGATATTTTTTCAATGTGATGGTTCCTATTTATTTTTTTGGCTGATCTGTATTGTACACTGATTGGTCTTTCAATACAGTTCATTCCTCCTATTCAGTGTTACACAAGAGGTTGATATTTACACTTCAATGTTGGTCCAGTAAGCAATTATTCTTATCTTCTTGATCCTATTTCGGGCGAAAAAAAACATTTTCCCAAAAGTCGATTTTTTGTAGAATTTTTTTCTGTTTCACAGTATAAACCAACCTGTATGAAAAACCAGAAATAAGTTATGTTGCAATTAGTTTGATGTTTATCATAGGGTGACTAGACTATATGGTGACAGGTCCCTGAAATGTTTGAAGTTAACTTCCGATTCAAACGCAAGTGAGAAATGATGAAGATGTGCACAAATTTGTTCTTAATGGATATAACACTGTAAACAAGCTTCAATAAATTAAAGATGCCATGTTAAATCAATTTTAATAAATATCCTTTTCTTTTCTCTCTCTCTCTTTATTCTTTTTAGAAAACTCACTTTACAAAATGATATAAATGTAAAAATTATCTGGTATATTTGCTAGATATAACACAGAAACTAAGTCCCTAGGGGTTTGGAAAGACACCAGGGCCTATTTTTAGCCCACCATCATCTTATGGTGGGCTATTCAAATCACCCTGCGTCTGTGGTCCGTCATCCGTCGTCCGACCTTAAACAATTCTTGTTATCAGTATTTCTCAAGAAGTTGAGCAGGCAGCCACCTTGT